GGTAGAGAAGGAGGGGGCTGGATGGAGTCACTGAAGCAGTTGGCTTAAATGGACTCCAGGAGATGGTGGAGGACAGGAAGGCCTGGAGGAACATTGTCCATGGGGTCGCGTTGGGTTGGACACGACTTTGCAACTAACAACAACAACAAAGAGACAAGAGAACCTGAAGAGAACATCTCCTTTCAAGCGATCCTGTCTTTACATCTTCCCAACCTGTATGATAACCTGAAGCCCAGACAAGGAATAATGGATGGAAATTGAACAAGGAGAGATTCAACCTGGAAATTGTCTGACAGTGAGAACCATCAGCCCGTGGAACAGAAGTTGCCTTCAGAGGTTCATCACCGGAGGCTTTCATGAAGAGTCTGGACTGCCATCTGTCAGAAATGGTGCAGGGTCTCCTGCTTGTGCAGCGGGGTTGGACTAGATGACCTACAAAGTCCCTTCCAACTCTGTTATTCTGTAATCTGTTATAGTGTTGCTTTCAAGGAAACTATGAAAGGCCGCCTCTTAATGACAGTACTAAGAGCTGGAAGGGACATTGGAGGTCTTCTAGCACCTATTCTTTCCTCCTTGCTTTGAAGGAAGAATAGGGTTTATTATTCTCCATAGATTAGTTTAGTTCACAAGACCACACTCGAAAAGAAGAACATTCTTTATATTTTACTTCGAGGTTTCTGTACAAGGCGGAAGGGGGAGGTCTCTAAGGTGACCCTGAAACTTCCACCAACTTCCAACCTGGAGTAGACTGACCTTTTGCATTACTCTTTGGAAAGCCTGCTTCATCCTTCGACATGATTCAGACAACAGCCTCGTCTCTTGGTTGGCCAAGGTGGCTTCTGGCAGATCTACGTTCTCTGGAAGTCTCAGGAAGGACCGTAAACAGTTGGTATCCTCTTCAGAAATTCGGTGAGGGTCCATCTGGAACAAATTATTCAAAAACAGCTAAGTGCTTTCAAGTCATGTTTGTTGAGCCTCAAAGATACACAACAACACTAGCCTGGGGAGGAGGGGAAAACAACAACCCAAATCTCTCTTTTGGAGTTATTAACTACTAGCTCGATACCCATGCTTCGCTACGAAACTATGTGGTTGGGCTGTTTGGGGGGAGAAAAATAAGAAGAGGGGAAATTGTGCCTCTGCCTACCAGCATACTTTGGTATTTATCTGGCTAGCATCCTCTCAGTGTGGGAGAAAGTTGAGGTCTGTTTGGAAATGGAAACATGGAAACTGAAAGAGTATTTGCTGTGTGAGCAAGAAGGAGACAGCAAGGAGCCTGGGCGTGGCTTAGCTCAACTGTTCTGTCCTAAAGCTGCTTGGTGCTGTGAAACTAAGACTGAAACTGAAACTCCTCTCCTCTGCTTGTGTTTTGCACTCGGAGAGATTTCTTTTCAGGTCGGGAGTGGGAATCAAACTCCTTAGCATCAGAGCGTGTTAATAATAATATAGGAAATACTCTAAATGATCTGATGGTCATTTCGAAAAATCCTTTCTTAGTGAGCCCCTAGAAGCCAAGAGGAACATATGGGCCAAATTTCAAGTTTGTAGGCTTTACGGTTCTGGAGATTTTGCGATGAAGCGTGAGAACCTGGGTGGAGTTAAAAGAGAACTCAGCCTAGAATCTCTACGTAGCCACAAGCGATCTAAATCTCGCCTCCCTTGAGAACTATCGCCCTTACATAACTCCAACCAGGTGTTAGCAATTAGTTGAGAAGATTCCTGTCCATTGGCTGTTTAACAATAAATCATAATTGGACCTTCTCGTGTGGCCTGGTCTTTCCTGCTCACTAATAGGTCTATCAGTAGCTATTAACAGTGTTAGATGCAAATTTCTCTCTTTCAAACATCTAAAGAAAGACAAACCCTGGGAATGATTTGGACCAGAACTGTATTTCTAATAGATCAATTGATCCAGGTAACTAGGAGTAGAAAAACCAGGACCCCATCCTACGTGAAATTATCTAATGGGCTTCTTTGGCAATCTCTAGGGGTGCAAGATTCTGCCACACCAGTACTGTTTACATTTGAGGAAAATACCACAGGTAGGAGCAAGATCTGGGAGGAATTGTAAGTTTGACTTGGCTGGGCGATCTCTCTTAAGATATGGGCCAGACGTAAAGATGGTGCTAAGCTTTGGGTAGATGGCTTTGTTGACTGACTGGTTGTATTTATACCTTGGACAAGGCTCTCAGGGAAGGAAGGAGGAAAAGACAGAAAAGGGAAGGGAGGAAGGAAGGGAGGGAGGGAGGAAGGAAGGAAGGAAGGAAGGAAGGTAGTGATGAAGCACCCACAGCTTCTAGTGGCAAGCTGTTCCACTGGTTAATTATCCTCACTGTTAAGAAGTTTCTCCTTAATTCCAGGTTGCTTCTCTCCTTGTTGAGTTTCCACCCATTGCTTCTTGCTCTACCTTCAGGTGCTTTGGAGACTAGCTTGACTCCCTCTTCTTTGGGGCAGCCCCTGAGATATTGGAAGACTGTTATCATGTCACCTCCACCTTTTCATAGTCTCTGCTTATCAGGAGATTGTTCTCCAGTGAGACAAGTTTCTTTCCTCCGGAACGTAAGTCATCACAAACACATTTTCAATTCAAGACTTTTATTACCTGGCTACCTCTCGCTGAGTTAGAGTTAAAGATAGGTAGGTTATCTGATGCCCATTTAAGCCATCTTATAGGTGGCCATGCTATAGAAGAAGCCTGGGAGATGATTTTGGGAACCTAGATAGATGAAATGGTATAAATTGTCTCTGTGAAATTGCAGGAAAACCAAAGGAAACTAGAAAGAGGCTGGCAAGATTATCCAATCTTTTGAAAGAGAAAGAAGCACTTGAATGTGGCTGGTTTTTGTTTTTGTTTTAAAGTCCAGCAAGGCACATCTGGCTTGTTCACATGCAGTTAACACACAACTTTCCAAGAAGTGAGAAAAGCTGTGGCAAAACCCAAGCCCACAAGTACTCTACATTGGCTCTCGTCTAGAAGCTTGATGGGAAAACTTGAATCCAGCAGAAAGTTCAAAATTCAAAACAGAAGACGACCTTCCTTTGGGAGATGGGATGGATATACGGAACATCCCGTGGGATTTTCCACAGAAATATTGCTAGGATTCAAAGAACCTGGCAGATGGAAGCCCCCTGGGTGAAACCTGACTGGTCTCAGAAAGACAACCAAAGGGAAAGAAAGAAAGAAAGAAAGAAAGAAAGAAAGAAAGAAAGAAAGAAAGAAAGAAAGAAAGAAAGAAAGAAAGAAAGAAAGAAAGAAAGAAAGAAAGAAAGAAAGAAAGAAAGAAAGAAAGAAAACAGGACAAGAGAAGGAAGGAAGGAAGTAAACAGAGGAGAGAAGGAAGGAAGAGAGAGAAAAAAAAGAAAGAAAGAAAACAGGACAGGAGAAGGAAGGAAGGAAGGAAGGAAGGAAGGAAGGAAGGAAGGAAGGGGAGAGGAGAGGAGAGGAGAGGACAGGAGAGGAGAGGAGAGGAGAGGAGAGGAGAAGGAAGAAAGGGAGGGAAATAATGAGAGGGAGGAACTCTCAGGAAAGTCCTGCCTTAGCACTTGGCCTCCACACGTACCACCAACACAAGAGTCATCAAGCTGGCCACTGTGGCCACGCCCATCCTCAGGCACACCACCCCCAGCCCTCCTAGGTCAAACACAACCCTGATGGGGCCCTCAATGAAACCGAGTTTGACATCCCTGTCCTAGAACAAACCCAATTGGTGGACCCATGATAGCTTAGCTCTAAAAAAAACCTGGGCTGTTGACTGTGTTCTCCCACAACTCCTTTGTCACGTCCTCTTCTTAAAGGTAAAGGTAAAAGTGCCCCTCGCACATCCATGCTAGTCATTTCTGGCTCTAGGGGGCGGTGCTCATCTCCATTACAAAGCCGAAGAAGAGCCAGCCCTGTCCGAAGACATCTCCGTGGTCATGTGGCCGGCATGACTAAATGCCTTTGAAGGTGCATGGAATGCTGTTCCCTTCCCACCAAAGGGCTCCCTGTTCTTCTATTTGCATTTTTTACATGCTTTCGAACTGCTAGGTTGGCAGAAGCTGGGACAAGGAACGGGAGCTCACTCCATTATGCGGTGCTAGGGATTCGAACCGCCAAACTGCCGACCTTTCTGATCGACAAGTTCAGCGTCTGAGCCACCGGGCCACCGCAGCATCCCTTAACCTCTTCTTTTTAGTCCTTCTCTCCTCATCATCTCCTTAAGCGTGGTCTGCTTCTAGCCAAGGTCTACCAAAATGAAACCAGGCCGCCAAAGAACCACGGTAGCTGGACACACCATCGAAGCTGACACCAGCCAAAGTCCAGAACAGCTCAAAGAAATAGCGCAAGGGGGGGAGATGGAGAGAGATCGGGCCCATAGAAGCACCAAGAGTCAGACTCAACGTAACGGATACCGCCATCATCATATTCATCACTAAAATGATTCTCCCAAATCTTCACTAGCCCTCTTTCTCGTTTGTTTGTTTGTCAAGCATGTAATGAGAAAAAAAGTATGTATGAACATAACATATAAACATATAAATATGTATGTGTATAAACAGGTATATAGGTATATGAACTTATAATTATGTGTATAAATCAGTATATAGGTATATAAACATATAAG